CGAACCCCATCCCAACGGGGGGAGGCGAAACGCTGCCGAAATTTTAGTAAATTCCCCAAATTTTATTTCTACCCCTAAAAATCAACAAACTCGGCGGGCTTATATATGTATTGATCCTTAATATATATAAACTAAGAAAGATATTTTATCTTAACTAAATACATTTTCTTTAATTTATAATTGAAAAATACAAAAGAATTCCCTAGAAGAAGAAGGGAAAGAGACGTTGCGGTAATCTGGTTTCGGGTGAACCTACTAGCTTGTTCCCGAAGGCGTGAGGCAAGCGACGGGAATTTTCAGTTATTAATCTACACCTCCCTCTTGCTGCGTTCTCTCTAGCCGCCAGTTGAATGTGGCCGCGGGTGCAAGTAGAGGTCTATGGGGCTACCATTGACTGGGACTTGGAGCCCCTTGAACTCATAGAGGGGGATCTGGTCGAGCTTACGATCCCCGGGCGCAACATTCGACACGTTGACGGCCAGTTTGCGTGGAGGTCCATAATCTTGTCCGAGGACGTGTGGCTTTGGACATACAAAGAGCACCGGTCGGGGCAAGGAGTGGGCGTAGTGAGAGCCTACTTGTATTTGGGACCGGGTGCAGTCAGGGAGGCCGTGGTGGGCCTCGCGACGACAGGGACTAGTGGCACAGTTATCAGGGCGTTACGCTACCTAGGGGAAGAGGTAGCTGCCTTCCGAGCGGAGGACTCGAGCGACCCGTTGACCCTATTTCACGGACGCCCTCCTCTTGATATCAACGGCGAGCTGGTGGGAGCACGGGACAGGTTTTTCGCGTACAGCGTTAGGAGCCTGCGGGCGATAGTTCCGACGTTCGTAGTAGAGAGCGTCTTTGGAGGTATTGGTGGAGTGATCGAGACATACCTGGCCTATCAGGATCTCAAGATCCTGGCGAGAAGGTCTGCCGACCTAGACTACATCTATTATTCGCTCGCAACCGGTGAGCCTCGTTAGGGAGACGAGAGGGTTCAACTTATAGAGTTGATCCGCTCGATAGACGACGAGTGGCCCCAGTCTCCGTGCGTTTGGGATTGGCTAGACCGTGAGCTCCGAGCAGGCCCCGAGTACGTGACCTGCATCGGGCGGCTCTTCTCAGACGACTGGGAGAGCTGGTGGGGTGAGGACGCCGGGCGACCTCTGATATACGGCCATCAGTTGGCGGAATACTACCAGGGTATAGGACAGGCGTCATACCGCGTCGAGGACGAGTTTGACGACGAGGGTTGGGAGCGAGAGGACGATGAGGACGCCTGGGAGCCAGACTGGGTCGACCCAGAGAGTGAGGTTGACGAGGAGGAGATTGACGTTACAAACGCCCATTTTTCCAGGATAGGAGTAGCAGTCCGGGCGTAGGAGGTAGAGGAGCACATTAGGGCGACGGTTAAGTGAGCTTTGCTACTGATTCTACTCGACCATACTGGACCTGAGTGCGAGAGTTGTCTGAAGGGTTAGCAACGTCGAGAGATGGGGTGCATCGCAGGGAGTAGAGTGATGCTGACCGAGAGTAGGAGAAGAGATGAGGAGTGATTAAGTGGCCTGGTTAGCTTATGTTCTCTCACGAGAGTCCGAATCGTATACTGTGAGGAAGCTTGTGGGACCCAGAGAGACGGCGGTTGGATACGACATACCACTTCCTGTRGCGTTAGAAGAGGCAGRGCGTGTACCGATACRATACTTGGGAACGTGGCTCGCAGAGGGGCTCTTCCTTTGGACAGTGATACTACGAGACGAACGACCCGAGAGGACTCATGATCTAGAAGGGGTCGGACATCTGATAGCGGATAGAGCACACGATTTAGAGATAGGACTGACGCTCGCAGGGGCGAGCAGAAGTTGGAGGAGAAGCGAGTCGTTGGCCAGAGTGATCGTTAATCAGCAACTAGTGAGACTCTCTGGAGGGAGGACGAGTTGGAGCTGCTTGGTATACGGTCCACCACATCCGACCCTCTACCCGAGAGAGGATTGGCGATTCGGACTTCCTACCTTCGTGATAGGGCAAACCTATGGGAGCGTGGATCGTTTGAGTAGAGCAGTGGACCACACACTTTACGCGCTCTGATAGGGCTTAGCGCCCCGCTTCAAGGAAGTATACTACGCCATTTGTGTGAGGTGGGGGGCGCCCAGTAGAGAGACGCTTGACGACATCATAGACGTTACTAGCTGGGTGGACTGTCTGAGGCCAATCGATCTGATTAGGTACTGCAGGAGACGGGCAGAGATCGATTACGCGGGGCTAGAGGATGTGAGATTTCTCTTCGAGGCCGCAGCTTAGGGAATGCTGGGAAGGATGGCTACGGTGATGCGTGTAGGAGAGCAACTGGTAAGCGCAGGATACACTGTGACAGTACTTCTCCGAGCGTACGTAGACGAGGACTTGACAGCGAGGGAGTGCAGACAACGAGCCAGGGATTTGATCCACGAGCGTAGAGCTGATGTACTGGCGCAAGTGACCTTCCAGACCTCGATTTCCTATAATGTGATGATATGGTCTTATAGTTATATGCGCGCGGAGCACTACCACGATGAGACGGTAGCGGAGGCTAGAGCGAGGGTGAGAGGATGAGCTGGAAAAAGATGTGGACTGAGTATGGAAGAGGAGAGTGAGGCAGTCGGAAGAGTGAGAAAGCGCGTTAAAGAACCACTCTTAAACCAGTTAAAGAAGTTGGGGGACAAGTTAAGGGAGATCTGGCTGAACTCGTGACGAGAGAGTTAGAGAATCTGTTTAGGGAGGAAATAGAGATTATCTAGGCGTGGAGATCAGACTTTCTGGAGAGGATAAGGGCTAGAAGCGTATCACGCGAAGAAACTAGTGAGCGATCTGCAGAGAGCGAGACAACGAAAGACAAAGTAACGCAGGGAAGTAGCGACAGGACATGAGCGGGACTGCACTACACACAACGGATCGGTAATCATTATATGTGGTAGGGAGACAGGACGGACCATTAGTGTTAGTGATCATAAGACTCCAGCTCCATACCAGACTGTGCATAGTTGAGGAGGCAAAGTGTGTCCGCCGCGCGCTGCGTGAGGCTAGGGGAACAGGACTTTGGATTGGAATAGAAGGAGGACGGAGGATAAAATACGTACTCCAAGTGACACCTTTCGAAGGGCGGTCTCGGATAAGGGCATGGTACGAGACGACCAGAGAGGCTGAGAGGTTGAAGATAAGCGAAGCCAGGAAAGCTGGAGAGTTAGGGAGAGTTGTAACAGATGGTGCAATACTCAGGGTGTTAGCCGCTCACGACCGGTACTGGAAGGAATCGATAAAGACTTTAGAGGCGATAGAGGATGGTGGAGATAAGGAGGACTTTGAGACATTTTATGACATATTGGAGCGGTCGACGATGAGGTTACAAGTGGTTATAGCACTAACTTACCTCAGCTRCTAGACAGATGACCTCGTAGCCGTCTGGGAGATAAGGGAGTGGAAATAGAAATTGGAAGCTCTTGGAAGGATAGTGGAAGCTAGAAAGGTCGATGGGCGACTTTGGATGGCAGTAGGAGGGTCTTTAGTGGGCTAACCGATTCAGGACAGGGCTAGGACAACTAGCAAGGAGGACGGAGATAGACGCTCGGAGACTCTTGAGGGGTGTTGATCAGGAGACGTTGGCTAGGTTTGGGACTGCGATCTGTCTCAAGGATAGAGGTCCTGTCACGGGTGTACTGCAGATCCGGGGAGGCACGGCCTTGTTGGCCGATCCCGAAGGAGAGGTTTACTTAGACACAGGGATTCTTGGGATAGAGGGAGAGCACGAGATCCACGACCGGTACGGGATACTGGAAGTGGTAATCAAGGCAGTCGAGAGCTAAGATTGGAGGCGGACGCGAGCCGTGACAAGGAAACAGGTTTGGGTTGCCGCAACTGTCACATGTGCGGGCTGCAGCGACTGTCATAGGGTCGGGCTGTAACAGTTGACTAGAATACCTAACTGCATCTTCTGGCGGTCCAATGGAACCCGACACGATGGGGCCACAAACGACCACAGGCGAAGTGGGAGAGGAGTACAGGACATCGCCCGATCGAGCTCTGAGGGATCTGAAGGAACGAATTAGGCGAGAAGCACTGCTGAGATGGGCTGACCAAACCAATGACGGAGGGCCCGACGAAAGGGGCGAACCAGTTGGGACAGAGCCGCAGGAGCCTCTAAAGACGGGTACCTCGAGCGGACGACGAGAAGCGACGAGGCGACGCTCCCCCGAGTACGAGCGGAGGGACACCATAGCGGACAGGCACAGAGACGACTGGAGAGAGAGTTTGAGGGATTCCTATTGGAGGGACAGAGATAGAGACAGGGCGCCGCCCAGGCGAGTCTTCGACCCCCATACAGGGGAGTGACATCCGCTCCCTTACGAGAGCAAGGATCGCTATATTATTACGCACAAGGCCTCAGAGCCTCCTACCTTCAGGGGCTATGGTATCACATAATATCTGGAGAAGTGGGAGTTTCACGCCAGCCGGAGTCAGTGGTCGGAGGAAGAGATTATAGAGAACTTCCTATTTAATGTGGACCCAAGTCTCGGTAGGGAAGTTAAGGAAGCTCGACCGAAGGATGGAAAATAGACTACGTATAAGAAGAACCTCATTGAGGTTTACAAATTAGAGGATAACAAGTATTCCATCAAGAACCTTGAAACAATGACTCAAGATGAAGATGAGAGCATACGGGCATTTGGGATGTGTTTCCAGAAGATCTCTGACGTGCTGATGAAGAAGGGGAAAATCTCAGAGGTCGAGCGCTGTACTATCTTCATCGGACACTTGTCCAAAGGTAGGCAAAAAAGTATACTTAGAGATCTTCTGCGCGACAGGCTTGATTTCTTGGAACTCCTAAAGCTCGCGATAAAGGCAGAGGCAGACGATTACAAGGACTTGGTGAGAGGGATGAGGAGACGTGACTTCTCTCTCTACAAGGAGTATGTCACTGATAGATGTCCTGATTTCAAGGACTATCCCTGGTCGGAGAAGAATGAGGCCGTGGCTGAGGAAGTGAAGGAAATACGGGACATGGTGAAGGGATTGATGAGACAGGTTACAGAGATTGTGACCACTATAGGGGCCACGGCCTACCGAGACAAACCTGGAGGGCCCTATTCACTTCGCTGGGACCGTAGGAACAACGATTCCTAGAGAAGTGTCGAGGATAGAAATCCTCGGACACTGACTGATTATCGTACGAGGGGAAGAGAGAGAGACGATGAGCCATGGCGACGTAGGGATGATGAGATAGACCGAGACCGCAGAGATCGCGAGCCGTTTGCGCGAGCAACGAGGCTGGATGATTACCCACGAAGCCCTCGCTACGAGGCCGATCGGGATAGAGGCGACTCCCGCGGCCGATGGGAGACAGATCAGGGCCGACAGGATGGATATAGGGACGACAGATACGAGAGATCGGACCGAGATGGATATAGGGACGACAGATACGAGAGATCGGACCGAGACAGATATAGGGACGACAGATACGAGAGGTCAGGTCGAGATGGCTACAGAGGTGGTAGGTATGAAATAGGAGATCGGGACTGGGAACGACGAGATGAGTCGCGCGGACGGTTTGAGCGCGGGGGAGATGCGAGAGAGCAGCGTGACGAGTCGCGGGGGTGGTATAGCCGAGGGGACCGACGAGATGAGTCACGAGGGCGATATGACTCGGGAGACCGCCAGAATGATTCGCGAGGGCGATATGAGCAAAAAGGGTCTGGAGGAGACCGCCGCAACGATTCGCGCGGTCGAAATGATAGAGGGGGATATGGCGTCTCATCAGAACCATATCCCAAGTCGCCTGACCCCAAGGCAGCCAGGAGTTCGATCTCTAGAAGCGCAAATGACAAGCCATCTACTCCCAGGAACTCATGCGTCTACTKTAGAGGAGAAGATCATATCAAGAGGGATTGCCCGGACCTCAAACGGGCAATACATGAGGGACTTGTCGTGCTTGACGACCGCAAGTACGTCAAGTGGGCAGATAGTCTGGGAGATGTATCGATGTTCCCTTCGATGAAGGAGAATGTCGAAGCAAGGAGAGTAAAGCCGAGTAAAGAAAAGGAGCCGGTCAGGAGCCAGAGCATCAAGATAACCTTTGAGAGGGATATGGCGACCACACCCATAAGAGTGGCAGCCACCAAGTCGGCGAGAGGGTCTACATCGAAGAAGACTGACACGGATTACGTGATGACGGAGAAGGACGGGCAGCGGGTCGATGGAGAGGAGGTTATCCTTTCGATGCGAAAGAGGGGAGTGAAAAAGTTCTTAATGAAGAGTTCGCTGGACGAGATTGACACGGTCGAGCCACTGAGGCGGGCCCTTCGGCAACCCATGCAGTGCTCTATTCTAGAGTACCTGGCGGCATCGAAGTCGGCTCGTGATGAGTTACAGATGATCACGCGGAAGACTCGCATACCTCTATCGGAGGAGGGTCAGGGGGCCCCTAAGACGGAAGCTTCTACAGTAGCAGTAACGGGGGTGACTACCAAAGCGGATTGCATGGCGACAGTCCTTCTCGATGGAATGGAAGGTGTGCCTCCAGACAAGTATTATATACTTGGTAGCAGGCCGTGGAGACGATTATAAACGATGGAGCGGTACTCGATGCTGTGATCGATAATGGCAGTGAGGCTGTCATCATAGACGAGGACCTGCCAGTACAAGTTGGACTAGGCCTCGATAGGTCATACCTATTTGACAATAAAAATTAAAAACATGAGAAATAATCAAAAGAGACAAACGAAAAAAGAAACAAAGAATTTTCGTTATCTAATTGGATTCCATCGGAAATTGTTTTTGATGGATTCACCTTTATTCTCGATATTTTTTATAAATAAATCAAGAAGTAGGAGAAACAATTAAATATGAAAAGATGGAAGGAAAGCCAAAATTGTTAACTGACTGACGTAGTTTGGCTCCAATTATCCGCGATCAGAATTACCCCCGGATTAATCATTTATTCTAATTCTGATGATTTCCGCTATACTATGTTTTTGGGATTTGTACGCATGGCCTGCCTAAATTTTCCTGATTTCTGACTTTACCGTAACCAGTGTGCTATAAGTGCGGGATAGACAGATGTGGGGCGTTACCGCTATGTTGTTTAATTGTGCCCCACGACCTTTTTTCYGTCGATGYAATCCCCGCTTGAGTTTGAACATGTGGATCAGGAGGTTCGATACTATTACGAGATTCAGACATTCTATGGTATTTGACACATTTCATGCACGGTATTGCGCCGACATCAGTGTGGCACACGCCTGGGAATCATCCGTTGGTTCGGCTTGGGCGCAACAGTCTGGTTCGRTACAGGTTCGGTCAATGATACGGAACTGGCACCGCAGGCAATATTAATCAAAATCATGTCGGGTCTCTGGTTTGGTAACGAGCCTCGGACTCTTGACGACGCTACCGAGTTTTAATGCCCCTGGCTATCTCAAGTCAGAAGTGGTCCTGGTTGGACTGAGTACTCTCTGGTTTGACGTGGGAACAGCGGGGTGCGCCTGTTGACACTTGTTGGAACTGTTGCTGTTTTTCGGGTTGGTACCGCTGTTTTCCCGCGGGCGCGCTGGTACCATTGTAATTCATATGATATTGGACTATGTACCTGTTCTCTTGGGGGCCTCTGGTCGGCGAAGGCCCATGCTCAGTGCAGCATTCCCCATATAGGGAGGACCATTTGGCAGTCGGAGGGACATGGAGACGAGGAAGCCAGCAGGAGGCATGCAAGGCGTACCCAGCCCACATCCACTTTGGATACAGACACGGTAAACGCGCTGGGAACGGGGGAGGCACGGGGTGTGCCAGGCATCCTCAACACTTGGGATGCTCAGAGAGGAAACCTAGTGGGAACGGAGAAGCTTGGAAGAGAAGAAGAGGCTTGCCTGATGGCACGCAAATGAAGGGAAGAGAAAACGGATACTTGGAAGGTTTGAATCACTAGCAGCACAACCCGGCTCACATTTTCACCATGCGGTTTCACAGGCGGCGTCTGAGCAAGGGTGGCTTAGCCTGAAAGCGGAGAATCATTGTCTGAATGTTGGTGATGCTCGATCGCTAAAGCCGCCCTCTTCACTGTTAAGTTTCTTCTATCAAGCTGTTCATAAATTAAAAAAAAAAAATAAAAAAAAATGACGGGTAAGTTGCCTGTTATCGTTAACACCTGGGCTCGATCCACAGATTCGACGCCAATCTGACCGCTACGGCGACCCAGGTACATGGTAGAGAGCAGGTGCTGATCTCCCCGTTTCACCAGACCCCATACACGGAGAAAACCAGGGTTTGACTTCGCTGCTTGCTGCTGTTCAAATATCTGCCGAATATTTGAGATCTAATCTACTCGCAAAAGCAGAGCAGGTACATGGTAGAAACAGGGCGCTGATCTGCCCGTTTCGCCAGTTCTCACACCCGGAGAAAATCGGAGATGATTTCGTTGTTGCTGCTGCCCGAACACCTAT